CAAATACCAAAATAAAGATTTTGGGTGAAATTTTCCTTTAACGTGACATTGCTCTCTGCAAGTTTCAAACACAAAGAGGCGGCATTAAATGGAGGCTATTGCCTAGAACTACAGTATCTTTGTCTTTAGAACTTTTAGAAAGCACGAGAGAGTGTCTCATCTTGTAGTAAAATACCAACGCAAGGTCAGTGGCCCTAATTTGATATAACCAATCCATGTCATAATTCATAACTTACAAAACATTGTATAAACAGTTGCATAATGACTTATCTATAACTGCTATTTTATTTTTCAGATACTCTGGACAGACGTTGGGTTGACATTGTCCCCAAGACAGAGAGTATATAGTTAGATGTAGCTGTTTTGTCAAGCATTGGGGTCTTAACAATATCAAATGTAGCTGCTGAATACAATTGATATTCTTAAGGCTGAGTCCCTTGCCCACATGATGATAATACTCTGGGACATGTTCTGTAGATGAACTTGTGTCTGCGGTATAGTTTGTCTTATTTACACAATCCACTGGGCACACACTGGTTGAATCAAAGTTGTTTCCACGTCTTTCAATTCAATTTAACCAACGTGGAATAGACGTTGAATTGACATCTGTGGCCAGTGGGAAGTAGCGACTGTTTTTGACCATGTAATGCATTTAAAATGGATTATTCATAATGTCATGTCATTTTCACAAAATATTATCAGTCATCAATCACCCATCTATTGTGAGTTTAGAGCAGAGTTTTCATAAACTAAATACAAAATTGATGAATGTTTCTAAAGCTCATTTTGGCCTAGTACAGTGTGTGGATTGTTGAGAGAATAAGGTGTTTGGATATTGTATTCATAGAGATGTATTTTAATTCCTAAATCTATGATTGTATTATTCAAGAGAGAGTTCCATTGCCCTTAGCTGACTTTTCACTCTGTGTTGAAAGGTTTTCCTAAGCCATTTCAAATTTTTCTAAACTATTGACTTAACTATTCCGTTGTGTATTCAGAAGTCTGCAACCTCATATCAACAGGGTCTATGTCATATTCACATATAATAATATAATATGCCATTTAGCAGATGCTTTTATCCAAAGCGACTTACAGTCATGCGTGCATAATTTTTTTGTGTATGGGTGGTCCCGGGGATCGAACCCACTACCTTGGCGTTACAAGCGCCGTGCTCTACCAGCTGAGCTACAGAGGACCACTGGTACAGTATCTTGAAAATAATACCCATACTAGTTGCTTCCCAGATCTAGTCCTACTCCACATGTACAGTAGAACTGATTCTTCAATCCATCATCTTCACCTGTTGATTGAACTCTGAACTGCACTGCTGAACTGTCCTCACGCCTGTGTCCTTGATGAATGAATTAAGAGATGAAGTTGGAGAGAACCTGGTTATTTGACAAACCAGTGAAAAGTATTCAGAGTCACTGACCTCTATTTCATTTCCTCTCCTGTAATATGTCTCAAAGAGTTTTGTGCAGACAGACTTCCACATTTACTACACAGGTATGTCTCATTCTGTCAGTTTGTGTGATATTATTTAGAGAGTCAAAATGAGAGGGGTTAGTGAAGAGCTAAGGATTCAAAGGGCTATACGTCTCAGGGCCAGACGAAGGCAACCGGAAGTTGAGACATGGTGGAAAAAAGACAGAGAAATAAATACTTTTCAAAAATCAAAGTATCTGCTGCAATAATATCAAATGAGTAATGGCCTGTCTTCTACTTCATTACTATGGGACAGTTGGCTCCTAGCACTTTTTCAACGGTTGTTTGCAAGACAATGGTGTTGAGCACGTTTCACCTTGAACACATTTCATAAACACCTGACAGGTATCAAAAGGACATTGTTTCACCAGCACAGATGTGCCCTTCTATATGTGTTGCTGTTTAGACAGGGAAGGTTTTCTCAGGACTCAGAAAGGGGAATTGGTGTTAAAAGAAGAACAGTGGTGCAAGATGGGTGTGACGATGTGAGAGGAGAGGGAATTGAGGATGAAAGGCAAGGACTGAGATGAGACCAGAAAGATGAACGAGGGACTGGAAGAATAGAGAGAAAGAGAGGCCCACAAAGACAGAAATAGGAGGAGATGTTAATAATTAATCGTCAGCGAAAGTCATTAATACTTAATCAATGTCAAAGAATGTTGGAGCCATTGCTTGTGTGAACTGTTATTGGTAAAGCACCATAGTGGTAGTCTGGCTGATACCAAATTCAAAGTCCTCCTGACTTCAGAGTCTGGAAAGGCTGTTTTGATGTTGTCGGCACAATGCGTCGATAATGAAGGGGGCTGTGCTTTTACTGGTTGGTTCTCATTCGTACCTTTCTCACGCAAAACCCACATGAACAGCCATGGACAGCCCCTGAGCACTGTCCCCTTCCATTACAACTGTTGGATCTTCAAATCCAAACAACGAGAGGTCTCAACCCACCAAGATAAAACATTTTGTTGAGAGAACTAATCAAAACGTCCCCTTCATTTCTGAGCGAATATTGCATTATCAAACGGCTTCCTGTCCAGACCAGTGTGTCACAGCTCTCCCTCGGTGTGTCGCGTGGGTCGCGTCAGCCAGGCTACCGTAATGGCACCCATTTTGTGGATGTTGCTTCCTCACATGTCAAATCAAATCAAATCAAATGTTATTTTCCACATGCGCCGAATACAACAGGTGTAGACCTTACAGTGAAATGCTTACTTACTAGCCCTTAACCAACAATGCCGTTTTTAAGAAAGAAAAAAAAAGTGTTAAGTAAAAATTAGATAAGTAAAAAATTTAAAATAGCATATAATTAAAGAGCAGCAGTAAAATAAAATAACAGTAGGGAGGCTATATACAGGGGGTATTGGTACAGAGTCAATGTGCGGGGTCACCAGTTAGTCGAGGTAATTGAGGTAATATGTACATGTGGGTAGAGTTAAAGTGACTATGCATAAATAATAAACAGAGTAGCAGCAGCGTAAAAGAGGGGGGTGGGGTGGGGTGGAGGGGCAATGCAAATAGTCCGGGTAGCCATGATTAGCTGTTCAGGAGTCTTATAGCTTGGGGGTAGAAGCTGTTAAGAAGCCTTTTGGACCTAGACTTGGCGCTCCGGTACCGCTTGCTGTGGGGTAGCAGAGAGAACAGTCTATGACTAGGGTGGCTGGAGTCTTTGATAATTTTTAGGGCCTTTCTCTGACACCGCCTGGTGTAGAGGTCCTGGATGGCAGGAAGCTTGGCCCCAGTGATGTACTGGACCGTACGCACTACCCTCTGTAGTGCCTTGTGGTCGGAGGATGAGCAGTTGCCATACCAGGCGGTGATGCAACCAGTCAGGATGCTCTCGATGGTGCAGCTGTAGAACTTTTTGAGGATCTGAGGACCCTTGCCAAATCTTTTCAGTCTCCTGAGGGGGAATAGGTTTTGTCGTGCCCTCTTCACGACTGTCTTGGTGTGTTTGGACCATGATCGTTTGTTGGTGATGTGGACACCAAGGAACTTGAAGCTCTCAACCTGTTCCACCACAGCCCCGTCAATGAGAATGGGGGCGTGCTCAGTCCTCTTTTTTCCCCCTGTAGTCCACAATCATCTCCTTTTGTCTTGATCACGTTGAGGGAGAGGTTGTTATCCTGGCACCACACGGCCAGGACTCTGACCTCCTCCCTATAGGCTGTCTCATCGTTGTCGGTGATCCGGCCTACCACTGTTGTGTCGTTGGCAAACTTAATGATGGTGTTGGAGTCGTGCCTGGCCATGCAGTCATGGGTGAAGTACAGGAGGGGACTGCGCACGCACCCCTGAGGGGCCCCCGTGTTGAGGATCAGCGTGGCAGATGTGTTGTTACCTACCCTTACCACCTGGGGGCGGCTCATCAGGAAGTCCAGGATCCAGTTGCCAGTTGCAGAGGGAAGTGTTTAGCCCAGGGTCCTGAGCTTAGTGATGATCGTTGAGGGCACTATGGTGTTGAACGCTGAGATGTAGTCAATGAATAGCATTCTCACGTAGGTGTTCCTCTTGTCCAGGTGGGAAAGGGCAGTGTGGAGTGCAATAGAGATTGCATCATCTGTGGATCTGTTGGGGCGGTATGCAAATTGGAGTGGGTCTAGGGTTTCTGGCACATGTATTGGCGTACACAGGTTCCACATACCACAGCAGTTTTTGACTTGCCACAATGTACAGTTTGTATACTGTAGTTTGATGCCAAATATGGTATAAAGTTTGCTTTCAAAGGTGTTATAGAGGGCATGTCTATTTTACCCTCTCATCATTCTCAAGCCTCCACATAGGACGTTCACCTTCTAAAATGGCCTTGCATGTTGATGGGGTGACAGACACACACCTTGTGCCCAGTGACAGTGCTGCTGTGTGACAGATCGTTACGACATTGTGACATTGGTCTACATACTGCTTTGGTGACACTGTCAGTAGATTACCCTAGCTTGATTTATCATGGGTTTGACTAGCCGTGATTAGTCTTTCTCAGTAGATATTGCCCTGTAGGTTCTGAAATTCTGGTCAAGGTTCTGGTAGGTAAGGATATCAGAGCATTGACCCAGTATGATAAATACTTTTGTCTTGATATGGAAAAATGTATCCAAAACTGTTTTCTGTACCGTTTTCAGGGATTATATTTGCGAGACATTCCATCTAAGCATCACCTTTCCCTGTTTCTTGTGAAGCTTTTTACCTTAATCAGCAGTTTCCTCCTTCCACTTCATATTACGTTGTTTCTGATACGTCATATCAAATCACAGTGTGGTTCAAGGCGGTACCCATTTGTTACCATTCCCAAGAACTATACCCAACTAGCTAAAATATATACAAAACCAATAGTCTGATTCCTCAGATGAGAAACGGTCAACTTTGCAGTTCAAACAATACTGGCTTCACCACTGACTGATTGACAGTTTAGTCATCTACCGCTTCCTACAGTCTGCTCTTAACCAATGTAAACTCTTCACTTCCAAAGCAGAGATGACATGATTGGCTCTCCTTCCCCCGAATCACTTGAGCATTAAAAACATATGACCAGAATGTAAATAAAGCAGGGGCATGTGAAACCTCAGTCTCCCCCACATCCCCCCATTCTCCCTGGCCTTGCAGCAGAGGTACAGCCTCGCACTGGGCCCGGGCAGATCTCATGCGTAATGGATGATGTGCCTCGGCTGAATACATATTTGATGTTTCCCAGACTGGAGGCTGGCGCAGGTCGTTAGCATGTTTGCTCAGTGAGCTGGATGAATCGGGAGAGAGCAGGAGAGAGCAGGGTGGAGAGAAGGGGCCTGAGATGTGCCAAAGAGACAAGTACTGTTTTCCCCGTATGGTTTCAGCTCTACTGTACTGCAGCCTGCCTGCCAAGGCCTCTCAGACAGGTCATGTCAGCAAAAAAGCTGTCTGAAAACAAATATCACTGCAGGGCTTGGCCAAGGTGACATTGAAGTATCCTGAGGTGGTTTACATTATTTAAAGAGGTTTACAGGAAGGAAAGTCTCAGTCTTGGAAGAGTCTTGATAAAAAAAATAAAAAAAATACATTAGCAATGAATACAACCTCATGGAAGTTTAATACCATGCAAAATAACTTGCATAACTAATGCATGGAAGACACACACAGAAACCTACACAATCATTGCCATGAGATACCTCAGACTGATGCTAACAAGAACATGCAGCTAACTGCCAAAATATAGGAAACACTTGAGTAAATTAGGGTACAAAGTATATTGAAAGCAGGTGCTTCCACACAGTTGTGGTTTATGAGCAATTCCTAAGTAATTAACCATCATGGCATGTATAAAAATGCTGGTGTCACGAATTCCGCCGAGGCTGCTCCTCCTCCTTGTTCGGGCAGGCTTCGGCGTTCGTCGTCCCCGGAGTACTAGCTGCTACCGTTTGATGTTCTCTATGTTTGTTTGGTTTTGTCTTGTTGGTGCACCTGTCTCGTATTATGTATTGATTATGTCACCTATAAGTTTCCTTTGGTTTTGTTTGCAGTTGTGTGTTGTTGTACGCCTGTCCGTTTGGTGTATCGTTATTGTGTTCTCTAGTATTTAGTATTTTACGCACTGTTAGCGTAATCGCTCGCCTCCTGTGTTAGAGGCACGTTATTTTGGTTATTGCCTTTTTAACTATTAAAGTCGTTGCGACTAAGCTTCTGTGTCCTGCGCCTGACTCCCACACCGCATCCACATCAGCTGGGCAGGCCCAGTTGCCCATTATTTTGGCTACCATGGCTGTGCTCCCTTAGGATGACAATGCCCCTATCAACAGGGCACGAGTGGTCACTGAATGGTTTGATGAGCATGAAAACGATGGAAACCATATGCCATGGTCGTCTCAGTCACCACATCTCAACCTATTGGTGCCCCAATGCCCTATTAAGATACTTTGTGTTGGTGTTTCCTTTATTTTGGCAGTTACTTGTAAATGTAACATTATATGTCTCCAGATACTTTCAATTAATATCAACAAAATTCTCGACCCTGCAATGCTGCTGAATCATGTCTCTTTGACGTCTGTACGCTATAACTGTCTCTGTAAGTCACAAGCCAACTGTCTCTCTCTATATATATACAGTATATATTCTCTCCTCTTTGTTCTCAGAATCCTAGAGAAGCGGCAGGAAAATGGCGAGACCATTGAGCTCACCGATGAGGGCCAGGCGGTTCTCGTGGAGGAGAAGGAGATGCCCGTGGTGGACTGCACCTGCTTCGGCCTGCCCCGGCGCTACATCATCGCCATCCTTTCCGGCCTGGGCTTCTGCATCTCTTTCGGCATCCGATGCAACTTGGGCGTGGCCATCGTCAGCATGGTCAACAACCAAACCATTTACAAGGGCGACAAACCGATTCTCGTGGTGAGTCCAAGAGTCAGAGATATACAGTAAAAAAAAGGGTTCTAAAAGGGTTATATAAATGCAACGTGTAACAATTTCAACGATTTTACTGAGTTATAGTTCATATAAGGAAATCGGTCAATTGAAATACATTTATTAGGCTCTAATCTATGGATTTCACAAGACTGGGCAGGGACGCAGCCATGGTTGGGTCTGGGAGGGCATAGGCCCACCCACTGTGGAGCCAGGCCCAGCCAATCAGAATTAGTTTTTCCCCACAAAAGGGCTTTATTACAGACAGAAATACTCCTCAGTTTCATAAGCTGTCCGGGTGGCGGGTCTCAGACGATCCCATAGTTGAAGAAGCCAGATGTGGTGGCCCTGGGCTGGCTTGGTTACACGTAGTTTGCGGTTGTGAGTCCGGCTGGACGTACTGACAAATTCTCTAAAACGATGTTAGAGGTGGCTAATGGTAGAGAATAGAACATTCAATTCTCTGGCAACAGCTCTGGTGGACATTCCTGCAGTCAGCATGCCAATTGCACGCTCCCTCAAAACTTGAGACAACTGTGGCATTGTGTTGTGTGACAAAACTGCACATTTTAGAGAGGCCTTTTATTGTCCCCAGCACAAGGTGCACCTGTGTAATGATCATGCTGTTTAATCAGCTTCTTGATATGCCACACCTGTTAGGTGGATGGATTATCTTGGCAAAGGAGAAATGCTCACTAGCAGAGATGTAAACATATTTGTGAACAAAAGTTGAAAGAAATAAACGTTTTAATGCGTATGGAATATTTCTGGGATCTTTCATTTCAGCTCATGAAACATGGGACCAACACTTCACATGTTGCGTTTATATTTTTGTTCAGTATACATGGAACCTTTTCCATCGTTTGAGTGTTCTTTGTTGGGTGAAAACGTTCTACCTGAAACCAAAAAGGGTTCTAGGTATCACCTTTGTTTCCATGACTGATATGTGTGACTTGTTGGGAGACTGAATCCCTATTGTCAGTGGTGGTGTTGTATGCTCTCAAAGGGTCAGAGAGTTGGACCAATCTGGCTGGTTTGGCTTTACCTCCTTCTCCTAAATGGATAATGACCTTATTGGTTGTAATGACCAGCAAACACGAGATGCATGCCTTGTTGCACTAGCTAAAATAGGATTTTTACAGCCAGTAAAAACGTGGTGGCTCTCAAAGCTGCTAGGTCCATCTAATCGCAATTAAATAGTTTGATTGTCAACTTTTATTGGGTTGATAAGGCTTCGATTAATGATTACCGTTGAAGGGTGCTAGAAAGGGTCACCTACTTTGGTTCAGCGATCTCACATGTATTTTTTCTCTTCCTATTTCTTTGCCTTGAACTCTCCTTTAGTTTTTTTCTCACTCTCTCCATCTCTCAATAGAAAGCTCAGTTCAACTGGGAACCAGAAACGGTCGGAATGATCCATGGGTCATTTTTCTGGGGATACATAGTAACCCAAATACCCGGGGGATTCATCTGTCAAAAATTTGCGGCCAACAGGTCAGCTGCTTATACTTATATGTGAATAATATGCTGTGAATATTTCAATAACTATTACTGTACACTCTTAGAAAAAAGGGTTCCGAAAGGGTTCTTCGGCTGTCCCCATAGGAGAACCCTTTTTGATTCCAGGTAGAACCCTTTTTGGTTTCAGGTAGAACACTTTTGAGTTCCATGTAGAACCCTCTGTGGAAAGGGTTCTACATGGAACCCAAAAGGGTTTTACCTGGAACTAAAATGGTTCTACCTGGAACCAATAAGGGTTATCCTATTGGTACAGCTGAAGAACCCTTTTAGGTTCTAGATAGCACCTATTTTTCTAAGAGTGTAGGTCCATATCTGATTCTATTCCCTCTTTTTCCCCCTCTATCACGCAGAGTCTTTGGCTTTGCCATAGTGGCCACCTCATGCCTGAATATGTTGATCCCTTCGGCAGCACGAACTCACATTGTCTGCGTTATCCTTGTCAGGATATGTCAAGGACTTGTGGAGGTGCTTGGCTACATTCCATGGCTTCCCCTAGCATACATCAGAGTTCACACTTGCACTATGCTGACAACTGATTGTTTTCTCTATGGTGAACTGGTCACTGGCCATGTGTCATACATGACGAGAATGTTTTCTTTCTCGTGTAGAGTGCATTTCACCTGAAACACCCTATGAGAGAAAGAGTTACACTAGGAAGTGATGTCATTGATTTTAGGAGATCAATAACTTTTCATATTAGAAAGAAAACATTATCATTGCGTATGACACATGGTCAGTGGCCAGTTCACCATAGAGAAAACAATCAGTTGTCAGTAACCTTTCAGTATAACTGCAAATATGAAGAGTTCTTAGTCACTTAACTGTAATTCTTTCTCTCGCAGGGTGTTTCATACCCAGCGTGCCACGGCATCTGGGCAAAGTGGGCCCCACCTCTTGAAAGAAGTCGATTGGCCACGACAGCCTTTTGTGGTGAGGTCATCTTACTCTTCTGTCATCCTCTCTGTCTCCCCTGTCTTTGTCTGGACACTACAAAGGGTCACAGTTGTGCTCCCTACTACAATTAATATAATTTATTGTGATTACGTAATTCTCCATAATCCTACATGACTTTAACCATCTCAACATCTACTGTGACTATTTCTACCATTATAATCATTAATAATCATGCTAGGATTGCTCAATATAGTAGTTCTAGTTCCACAGAAATGCTGTTTAATGATGTGCACTTCCATATGACTGACCTTTCTGTCTCACTCATGTTTGAGTGTGTCGGTCTCTGTATCTCAGGGTCCTATGCAGGAGCCGTGATAGCTATGCCACTGGCTGGAGTACTAGTCCAGTACTCAGGGTGGTCGTCTGTTTTCTATGTCTATGGTTAGTGACCTCTGTTTGTCATAAATGTTCCTAACTTAAAGTGATACAGGTGTATGATATTAATTGTATCACCCTGTTGCAGGAGAACTTTCCTGCAATGCAGGACATTTTAAACTTGTAATGTATTTAAGGTTTAAAAAGGGTTCTGAAGTTTGTAATTTCCACTTTGTAATTTGACTTGATTTTCCCTTACGAAAAATCTATCAACCCCTACAAAAATGTCCATTAATTATAATCCTCATAATAATTCACATTTCTTGTTGCTGCAGGATTATATCCATGCTTTAGCAAACTGGCTCAGATTAAGATCCTACATGTGTAGTTCACTTTTATGTGAAGTTAAGTTTATCTTCGACTGTGGTCATTTCCTCCAAACTGTTTTAAAAGGTTCGCTGCAGAGTTGGGGTCAATTCCATTTAAACTCCAGTCAATTCAAAATGTGAACTAAACTCCAATTCAAATTCAAAATTTTCCTAATTGAAAAGCATTGAAGAGAATTTGAATTTTAGTGTACTTCCTGAATTGACTGGAATTTAAATGGAATTGACCACAACCCTGGGTAGTTGGTTATTTAGCAACGTCCAGAATCTCCTGGCTAGCATTTTTGGAGAATGTAGCAATGCTAGTGAAAATGGATTGTGTCGTATAGCGGTGCAAAAGTGAACAATCCCTCAGTTCAGTTCAAGTATGCAAATGCTACAAAGGCTTATGAATTGGTTGTGAAACGTATGCACTGTAGCTCTGACCCTCAGTCTGTCCTAGTTTTAGAAACCTCCTTTTCTCTATTCTTACTCTGTTCTCTCCACTCTTTCCACTCTACCTTCCACCTCCCAGGCAGCTTTGGGATCTTCTGGTATCTCTTTTGGATCCTGGTGTCGTACGAGAGCCCGGCAGCCCACCCCACCATCACAGAAGAGGAGCAGAAATACATTGAGGAGGCTATCGGAATGTCAGCCGCTAACTCCACACCTGTTACGGTTAGTCTACACCAATTCCTCTATCCACTAACTCGCTTCTGAGCTAATCATCACTTTGTTTCACTTCCTCTCCAGATCTACTTTTCATGGCCCCTCATTGCTGTGTTCTGACGATGTGATTTAGGGTTTTTGAGCCTTTGAACTAGTATTTGTTTTTAACAGTGTCTGCATCTGAAATGGCACGCTATTCCCTATATTATGCACTAGTTTTGGCCCGAGCTCTGGCCAAAAGTAGTGCACTATATAGGGGATATGGGGTATTTTAGAGCACACAATGGAATCATGATAAGATGATCACGATCAACCCTGGTCTCAATGTGGGGGTTGTTACAAAAGCTCTAAAGGGATAGTTCACCCAAATTACAAAATTACATATTGGTTTCCTTACCCTGTAAGCAGTCTATGTACAAAGTATGACAGCAATCCATGCTTTGGTTTAGTTTCCCTGGCACTGTTTCCAAATGTTCAACATTTTAGCATTTCTTGCACAAATCCCATGCAAGTCATGGTATTTACAGATGTAGGATCTTAATTTGATCACTCTTTTGTTGCTGAGAATTATTTTCCAATGTTTAAAAAGGCTTCTAAAGTTAGTAATTTCCACTTTGAAATGTCAGACTAGATTTGCCCTAACAAAAGATGTATCAACCCCTACAAAAAATGTACATTGATTATAATCCACATAATAATTCACATTTCCGGTTGCTGCAGGATAATTTTCCTGCTGTAGCAAACTGGCTCAAATTCAGATCCTACATCTGTATAGTAGCATTTGTCTCACATCAAGTCCAACTCATCTGTAAATGACTTTGTTGAGATACAGAATCAATTTCAGATACTTGATTTGGATTTGGACATGATGTGCGAAAAATGCTAATATCGGTATCTTGTATTCTATCGAGTATCTACTCAATATTTTATTTTTATTTTACTATGCACTATTGCATGCCACCTTACTGTACATTGAATGTTTTCTGGTCCTTCTAGAAATGGAACACGCCTTGGAGAGCCTTTTTCACTTCGATGCCGGTTTACGCCATCATCGTGGCCAATTTCTGTAGAAGCTGGACCTTCTACTTGCTCCTCATTAGCCAACCTGCATACTTTGAAGAAGTGTTCGGGTTTGAGATCAGCAAGGTGACTAAGACAAGGAATATCCATGTAGAGCTGGCCTAGAGCTAGTGCTGTGCTGGTGCAGGTTTATCTGGCCCTGTGTGATCCCAGGGATGTGGGATCCCGGGGTACACAAATTGACTTTTCAGCTTTTCTTATGAGGACTAGTAACAAGCACTGTTATGCTCCTCTAAGTCTGGTCTTATTTGTTGTACAGTACTAAAAAATATCCTTCCTCCTCCACTCTCTGGCCACCTCCTATCCATCCACCCCTCCTCACATCCCAGGTGGGCTTGGTGTCGGCTCTCCCCCATCTAGTGATGACCATCATCGTGCCGATCGGGGGCCAGCTGGCTGACTACCTGCGCACAAACAAAATCATGAGCACCACCAACGTCCGGAAGATGATGAACTGCGGAGGTAAGAGAGAAGGTAGAAAAGAGAAGGTAGAAAGGACGAGGAAGGAAAGAGGAGGAAGGAAAGAGGTGGAAGGAAAGAGGAGGAGCAGGCAACAGGGCAAGACATGTCTTTGATTTAGTGATTAGCTATCAAGAACCATGAAAGATTATTAGTCGGTTCGTATCAGCCATTGATTGGCAGCTCGTGCCAGTTTTGTCGAATATAACCTCAGTCTACTTTTACATGAACAAAACTATTCAACTACAAGGAAAAATAGAAGGTAAAAAAAGTTTAACCAAAAAATGTAAGCGAGATATTGACCTGGAAAATACAACACCTCGTTTTGTGGTAACCATGGTGTCCGGTCGGTGCGTGAGGAAACGATCACTGCATAAGGCAAATGATGACTTCCAGTAAAGCAGCATTTCTTGCCACAGTAAACCATTTTTTGACTGCATAGAATACAGGAGTGAGGGGAATGAGAAGCGTATACATATCTATATCACTGTGGGAAGCTGCACCACATGGAGCCACATTTGGGGCAGACTACCCTCAATACCTTTTAACTAGAAGGAAACAAAGGAAATAATTTCTTAAAGAAGAATATCCTCTATCCCTCTCAAGTTTCACCACTCTCTTTTTGTGCTGTTGTTTTATCCCTGTTCATATACCTGAATATTCAAAGAATGCTCACTTGATTCTTGACTTCCTCCATTTGTTTATGTGTCTTAACGTTCTTGTGATAGGTTTCGGAATGGAAGCCACCCTACTGCTAGTGGTCGGGTTTTCTCATACGAAAGCTGTGGCTATCACCTTTTTGGTTCTGGCTGTGGGCTTCAGTGGGTTCGCTATTTCAGGTGAGACTTGGGTTGTTCTCTTTTAGATCTCTCATATCTCTCATATACACTACATGGCCAAAAGAATGTGGACACCTGCTCGTCAAACATCTAATTCCAAAATCATTGGCATTAATATGGAGTTGGTCTCCCCTTTGCTGCTATAACAGCCTCCACTCTTCTGGGAAGGCTTTCCACTAAATGTTGGAACATTGCTGCGGGGACTTGCTTCCATTCAGCCACAAGAGCATTAGTGAGGTCGGACGCTGATGTTGGGAGATTAGGCCTGGCTCGCAGTCGGCATTCCAATTCATCCCAAAGGTGTCCGATGGGGTTGAGGTCAGGGCTCTGTGCAGGCCAGATGGTGAAGTGTGATTCATCACTCCAGAGAACGTGTTTCCACTGCTCCAGAGTCCAATGGCGGCGAGCTTTACACCACTCCAGCCGACGCTTCGCATTGCGCATGGAGATCTTAGGCTTGTGTGTGGCTGCTCAGCCATGGAAACCCATTTTATAAAGCTCCTGAAGAACAGTTATTGTGCTGATGTTGCTTCCAGAGGCAGTTTGGAACTCGGTAGAGAGTGTGCAACCCGAGGACAGACGATTTTTACGTGCTACGCGCTTCAGTACTCGGAGGTCCTGTTCTGTGAGTTTGTGTGGCCTACCACTTTGTGGCTGAGCCGTTGTCGCTCCTAGACGTTTCCACTTCACAATAACAGCACTTACAGTTGAAATTTGACGAACTGACTTGTTGGAAAGGTGGCATCCTATGACGGTGCCACGTTGAAAGTCACTGAGCTCTTCAGTATGAGCCATTCTACTGCCAATGTTTGTTTATGGAGATTGCATGGCTGTGTGCTCGATTTTTATACATCTGTCATCAATGGGTGTGGCTGAAATAGCCGAATCCACTCATTTGAAGGGGTGTCCACATACTCTTGGCCATGTGGTGTATCTCTTACCTCTCAGTCTTCTGTTATTCTCTCCTCAAGACACTTTTTCTCACACAACAGATCAGAGTTCACTCCAGCTCCTCACAGAAACGGATAAGCTCCGTCAGCAGAACAGCTAACCTTGATCTGTCTATAGAGAATTGCATAATCTCTCAAGCGCAGTTATTTAGGGGATTGCCTCTGCTATCTGAAATAGAGTTTGGCTACTGTTATATCATACTCTTGAAAGTTGATGGTCTGTGTCGGTACAACAACAACAACAACAATTTCATGGTGACCTTTCTCTCTGTTTCCCCATTAGGCTTCAATGTGAACCACCTGGACATTGCTCCCCGCTATGCCAGTATCCTCATGGGCATCTCCAATGGGGTGGGCACTCTGTCAGGCATGGTGTGCCCACTCATTGTTGGTGCCATGACCAAACATAAGGTACAAAATGACTCTGCTTCTACACTACATCATACAGCACACTGCCTACTGCATAGCCATTATTAACTATCACACATCATTATAAATCACGATCTATCATAACACAGCAAGTGACTCATAGAGGGATAATAGATACAAATTCTTACTCAATATTCATCCCTCTTTTATCACTTGTTTTAGTTTATTTCTCTCACTCCCATTCATTCTCTTGTTATTTTCTCTCTCCCTCACACACACACACACACACACAAACGCACACACACACACAAACGCACACACACACGCAGACACTCTCTCACTCCCTATCCCACTGTCTAACAATCACATTAGGTATTTCACTGTACTTGTGCACGTGACAATGAAACTTGAAACTCTCCTCTGTATCTTTTGTGATGGATATTTTAAATACTATCAAATGAGGAGAGATACACTTATCACACAAGTCAGAGTTCTAATTAAACTAAATCTTTATCCTAATAACTAATCGATAAGGGAGCTGGTCGCAATACCCACACAACCAAGTCGATAGAGTGACAGCCCAACGAACAAGAAATGCTGAGGTCTTATATAGTGGACCTAAAAATGCTTAGTCATGGTTGGTTCCACCCCTCCCCGTCAGATCAGGAGCTACCTTGTTTTCTTCTTGTGGCTATGTGTATCGAGTCATAGCGCACAAACAAGTGATAACGTTAGTTCCGTTACTTATCATATCCCCACACAGCTGTGCCTTTGGAAGATAGTAAAAGACAGGATGAACTGAAAAACTGTGGTCACTGAGGCTCTTTGTCTTATGCCGTGTGACCAGGTTACTCAGAAGCAACGAGAAATTGAAACAAAACAGGTCTATCTGTTCCTCAAGTTTATCTCTATCCCATGTCCTAGACTACATTCCCAGACCAGCTGCAGGGAGCTATTAGGAACCATCCTTATGAAAATCACAGCATTGGTAGTTAAGAAATGTCTCTACTATTGTTAAGCATATTAATTGTTAACTATTCATATTAAACAAACCTAATTTTTCTCACACACTTTCTTCCTCCCTCACTCGCCTTAGACGCGGGAAGAGTGGCAGTATGTGTTTCTCATTGCTGCACTCGTTCATTACGGAGGTGTTATATTCTATGGTATGTATTCTCTCTGTTTTCTTTTTTCCCCCCTCCCCTATCGTCGCACATCGTAATGAAGCTGTATAATGATGCAACAATTGTTTGAATTGACCCTGAAGTAAATTGTGTTTCATTTGTATGAAACTTATTTCATGCCGAGCAAGCTAGATTATTCGTTAAAAATCAAACATGTATTATCGTATTGATATTCCCTCTTGCGCGATTGTATTGCATATTGTCCTAATATGAAGATATAATAAATGTTGGTCCTATTTTTTTTTTTTTTTTATGTTAATGCAACCGTTTAGAGTTGAGCTACATAATCTAGATCCAAGTCAATGTAAGTACAGTTTTGGAAAGAATGATTTCATTTGTCTTTTGTATTCTAGGACTTTTTGCCTCCGGAGAAAAGCAGTGGTGGGCAGAGCCCGAGCAACTTAGTGATGAGAAGTGTGGTATTCTGGATGAGGATGAGCTGGCCAATGAGACGGAGGAGTTGTACCGTACAACCGGAGAAGGAGGCTACGGAGCAACTATCCAAGCTCAGGATCCCAATGGAGGAGGAGGCGGCGCAGGAACCTGGGTCTCAGACTGGGACAAGACTGAGGAGTTAGTACAACCACCAGGAACCGATAGCTACCTATACAGAGGAGAGAAAGACAGGGAGCTAACATAGAGGGACTTACAGGTAGGAGTTATGGAGTGGGGTAGCAGACAGAAAGAGTAGATAAAAGTTTCCTTTTGGCACAGGAACTTGGAAAGAGGTGGGGTGGGTGGTTGGGATGAGGGTGAGGAGTGGAAGAAGGGGGGACCAAAGTATTACGGAGAACTGAAAATGGTTGTACAACAGCGGAAATAGGATGAGCCATGTACTAAGCGTGGGTACAGTGCATTCGGAAAGTATTCAGACCCCTTGACTTTTTCCACATTTTGTTACGTTACAGCCTTATTCTAAAATTGATTAAATAGTTTTTTTCCCTCATCAATCTACACACAATACCCCATAATGACAAAACAGGTTTTTAGAAATGTTTGCAAAAGTATTACAAATAAAAAACGTAAATATCACATTTACATAAGTATTCAGACCCTTTACTCAGTACTTTGTTGAAGCACCTTTGGCAGCGATAACAGCCTTCTTCCTAGAGTATTCTTGGGTATGACGCTACAAGCTTGGCACACCTGTATTTGGGGAGTTTCTCCCATTCTTCTCTGTAGATCCTCTCAAGCTCTGTCAGGTTGGATAGGGAGCGTCGCTGCACAGCTATTTTCAGGTCTCTCCAGAGATGTTCGATTGGGTTCAAGTCCGGGCTCTGGCTGGACCACTCAAGGACATTCAGAGACTTGTCCCAAAGCCCACTCCTGCGTTGTCTTGGCTGTGTGCTTAGGGTCGTTGTCCTGTTGGAAGGTAAACCTTCGCACCAGTCTGTGGTCCTGAGCGCTCTGGAGCAGGTTTTCATCAAGGATCTCTCTGTACTTTGCTCCGTTCATCTTTCCCTCAATCCTGACTAGTCTCCCAGTCCCTGCCGCTGAAAAACATCACCACAGCATGATGCTGCCATCACCATACTTCACCGTAGGGATGGTGCCAGGTTTCCTCCAGACATGACGCTTGGCATTCAGGCCAAAGAGTTCAATCTTGGTTTCATCAGACCAGAGAATCTTATTAATAACTCCAAGTGGGCTGTCATGTGCCTTTTACTGAGGAGTGGCTTCTGTTTGGCCACTCTACCATAAAGTCCTGATTGGTGGAGTGCTGCAGAGATGGTTGTCCTTCTGGAAGATTCTCCCATCTCCACAGAGGAACTCTGGAGCTCTTTCAGAGTGACCATCGGGTTCTTGGTCACCTCCCTGACCAAGGCACTTCTCCCCTGATTGCTCAGTTTGGCCGGGCGGCCAGCTCTAATAAGAGTCTTGGTGGTTCCAAACTTCTTCCATTTAAGAATGATGGAGGCCACTGTGTTCTTGGGGACCTTCAATGCTGCAGACATTTTTTGGTACCCTTCCCCAGATCTGTGTCTCGACACAATTCTTTCTCTGAGCTCTACGGACATTTCCTTCGACCTCATGAATTGGTTTTTGCTCTGACATGCACTGTCAACTGTGGGACCTTATATAAACAGGTGTGTGCCTTTCCAAATCATGTCCAATTAATTGAATTTACCACAGGTGGACTCCAATCAAGTTGTAGAAACATCTCATGGATGCTCAATGGAAACAGGATGCACCTGAGCTAAATTTAGAGTCTCATAGCAAAGGGTTTGAATAGTTATGTAAATAAGGTATTCCTGTTTTTGTTTATCTTTTATAAATTTGCTAAAATGTCTAAAAACCGGTTTTCACTTAGTCATTATGGGGTAATGTGTGTCGATTTATGACATTTTTATTTATTTAATCAATTTTAGAATAAGGCTGCAACGTAGCAAAATGTGGAAAAGGGGAAGATGTCTGAATACTTTCTGAATGCACTGTATGTGAGTGTGTTTTGCATTTGTGCACCGTGTGTGAGACAGGATCACAAAGAATATTTAAGGGCACCAAAGCTGTCAATAGTGGTACAACACCTCTGTTCAGTATTGCTTCACAGTGTCACTTCGATAAGTACACTTTTACATTCTATCATGTCAACGAATTGTATATATTAGGCCTAACCTGTCTGCCTGGTTGAAAATGATTGTCTATTGAGATGGGAAGAGAAGGATGAGAAAAAGAATTGCTTCAAAGACCAACTCAGAATCTCCACCCAATCCAAGCTCTACAAAATACAGTGAAAGAAGTATATGGTATATATTTCACATATATTTGTTGGACTCTTCAGGACATTTATGATCTGTTTTACTTTATATATGGCTGTATGAACGTGTTTTGGGAAAGGAACATTCACAATCGTATAAAACGTAAAAAAGTCTGCATTCCATATATACTGTATTCTCCACCTCCAATAGTCTCGTAGTTATGTTATTGTAGCATTGTATCGGTTTCCACTGTTTGTCTTGCCGGTCACGCTTGATATATTGTAGTGTCAGTGCGCTCTCACCGAAGAAGCTGTTTGCTTGCACCAAGGAGCCAAAAACCCACACACGCCAGCCTGTGCCCGCCATCACTAAGCAATAACACACAGAGGGAGAGAGACTATGGCGTCCTGATCCCAACAAGCACCCACCACGACCCTATCAATCACTCATCAAATAGTGACTGCTTTGAAGGGCAAAATGGTGCATGACACTATATACCAGTCAATGGTTGACAGTACATGTCAAACATGGGATTGATGGAGCCCCTGCCTCCCTCTCCTGCAGGGCCATGTTCATTAGGCACCAAACGGAAGAAACCAGATTGAAACAGGGAAGGACAACCTGGACTCATCCTACAAGAAATGCTCATTCTTGTTTTTCTGTTGCAAAATGTTTTCCTTTGTGCGTTCTAATGAACACGACCCTGGTGTCCATACAGAGCAGAGAAGGGTAACCGAGATCTCTCTCCTATGGAGGAATATCTCTCTCTCCAATTCCTTCCTTTATATTATAGTCTGCACTGGAGTGTTACTCTGGATATACTTAAAAACGTTGGTAGGCTAGTGCTTTTTACGCACTTAGTCAAAAAGCAATAAATAATAAATTATGTATGACACTGTAAATGTTGAATTTCTGTACATAAATAATACTTTTTCTGGTAAGCATTGTGAGTTGTTTAGTGAGCCTCACAGCCCAAAGATAAAACCCATGTTTTCATTGGTATTGCAGAGAGGTGTATCACTTTCAGACTTGGGTCAAATACATACTCTATGTCAAAAACTTGAAAGTATTTGAGGTGCCCTTGATTTAGCTTGGAGTTTGCACTTTTGGGACTATTCCATTGACTCTTTTGTAACAGGCAAACTAACTCAAGAGCAGCTCAAGTATTTAACAGTTTTTGACTTTTATATTTGACCCAGGTCCGATGACTTTGACTGGAGAGTTTCCTTCAGTCCATGGAGATACTGTAAACAATAAAAATTGTATTTCACATTCCAGGAAAATAAGAATAATAACTGTTAGGGATTTTACTGTTGTCTTTGTGAATTTTTGTTTATTTTCTTTTTGTGTGGTTCTTTCCTGTAAAATGTACAATTGTATATGTTCAAAAACATATTCATGTGAAAAAATATTGTGAAAGAAAAGCTTGAGTACAATGTTATTATTACTATATTATTACTTTTATCGTTACTACTACTATTATCAACATTATTACAAATTATTCAACATTATTTTTGAACATTACATTCTATTTTCTCTATGAGCCTGTTCAGGTTTGTATATGGATGTGAATTGTGAAATGACCTTTAAACAAATGCTTAATGAACAAATGAATATTACACAAAGCCTCCTGCTTGTCTGGTTCCCACTTTGTCAGCCCACAACTTTCCATTCTTCACCCCCTGCTTTCCTCTCCCTCTGGTTAGGCTGCTAATAGGCAGAGAACCCTTCTCTCCAGATAGGAGGTGTCATATTACTTATATGCTCTGCCTATTTATTCTCCATCTATTGATCACTGGGCTAGAGATATTACCCCAGAGAAAATGTCAGAGAGAAATAAAGATTTTGATGGGATCTGAAAGAGGCCTTTGCCACTTTGCCACTGTCCAGGGAGTACACTTTTAGAAAAAAAGGCGCTATCTAGAACCTAAAAGGGTTATTCGGCTGTCCCCATAGGATAACCCTTTGAAGAACCCTTAATGGTTCTAGGTAGAACCCTTTTGGTTCCAGATAGAACCTTTTGGGGTTCCATGTAGAACCCTTTCTAAAGAGGGTTCCATGTAGAACCCTTTTCTAAAGAGGGTTCTACGTGGAACCCGAAAGGGTTCTTCCTGAAACCAAAAAGGGTTCTACCTGGAACCAAAAAGGGTTCTCCTATGGGGACAGCCGAAGAACCCTTTTGGAACCCTTTTTTTCAAGAGTGTAGGGTTTATGTCGTCATGTCAGAGATGGAAGAGTTTTCTACACTGGCCATACGGGACAGGACTCTCTCTCGCCCTCTTTGTTTCTCCCTCTCTCTTTCTCCCTTCCTCTCTTGTCGTTGTCTCACATCAGGGAGAGATCATCTATTTGCCCGAGACAGAGAGAAAAGGAGGGGGAAGGGAGAAACATTGGTAAGTGATATCAGATAATGGTACTTTAATATGACACCTGATTTCTAGCTGTGTATTCTCTTGGCATTGCTCTGTGAGGGGAGGGGGTGGAGGGGAGCAAGACTAGGAGTGAGGCAGGAGGGAGGAAAGAGACGCTGTCAGGTTAGCTGAAGTCTCTCTCTGACACGCTGCGCCAGGCTGAGGAGCTTCCTGGAGGGGACAACAGCAGGTTCAGGAAATTAAAGTCAAGATGGATGAGTGTAGTGCAGGAGGATTCCTCCTCCTCTGCCCGCCCAGCACTCCTCTCTCAGCCTCCCGCTCAGTGGTATTTATTGGGTCAAAGCTACTGGCTTCAAGGTTGTTAAGAGCAAGATCCGTATTCACAAAGCATGACGTTAGTTAGGATCAGTTTTGCCTTCAATCATAATGAATACGATTACATGGACAGGGGGGAGCTGATCTTAGATGCTTTGTGAACACAGGCCCAGAACAGACCGAATACAGACCAGTTGTAGACCGTGTTAATTACCCATCCAGCTTGTGCTATTAAACCCTGCTGCTCATTCCATTGTTCTCAAACCGTATTTTAATATTATTATTCCAGCACAGGTAATCCTGCACCAACGTCCACCAAAGTACCATGGTAAAATGATACTGACTCAATCTGAGTGTGGGATCCAAACAACTGATTAAACATTGAGTTTCCACAAAACAACACGAGAATTGGTTATGCTAATACTTTATTTCAGCAAACAAAATTATCATAATGATATATTACCAATGTTACACTGCCGCCCACTGTAAATGACATAAATATACAGTTTGGAGTATTGCATTTAGATATCTCAGATACTGTGCAACTTAAGCATAATATGTTTTATACATTCTATATACATTACAGACAAAAAAGAGAAAGTGCTTGATTAATGAACAGTGGATGTTTATAATAATAAGCCATTTAGCAGACGCTTTTATCCAAAGCGACTTACAGTCATGTGCGCATACATTTTTACGTATGGGTGGTCCTGGGGATCGAACCCACTACCCTTTCGTTACAAGCGCCATGCTCTACCAATTGAGCTACAGAGGACCACATATTTGCCTTAAAGCTCAAATGTATACAACACAAAACATATACAAACGTTTTTTGTAAAACTTTCAATGTTATAGTCAATATCTGTCCAACAAATACTGAAAATGTCTAACTTACAAAGAAAAGTAAGTATTAAATCCCTCCTTTAAAAAATTTCACACATTACAATGATAAAATCATTATCCTACTCACTAGCGTAGCACCCCCCGCAGCCCCTGCAAGTGGGAGGTCCCACAAGCTTCCCACAACCCAGATAGCATATAGTAAGCCATGGTTATTATTGTACCATTTTCGTGATATCCAATTGGTAGTTACAGTCTTGTCCCATCGCTGCAACTCCTGTATGGACTCGGGAGAGGCGAAGGTCGAGAGCCATGCATCCTCCGAAACTGCTTCTTGACACACTGCTCGCTTAACCCGGAATCCAGCCACACCAATGTGTCGGAGGAAACACTGTACAACTGGCAACCGAAGTCAGCATGCATGCACCAAGCCCGCCACAAGGAGTCACTAGAGCGCGATGGGACAAGGACATCCCGGCCGGCCAAACCCTTCCCTAACCCGGACGACGCTGGGCCAATTGTGCGCCGCCTCATGGGTCTCCCGGTCGTGGCCGGCTGCAACACAGCCTGGGATCGAACCCGGGTCTATAGTGACACCTCAAGCACTGAGATGCAGTGCTTTAGACTGCTGCGCCACTCGGGAGGAATTAGTTATTTTTATAACAGGAAATTACCTTTAAAACTGCTAAATGTCCTCTCAGCCTCATAGCAAAATGTGTAGAATAGCAGGAAATTAGCTCTAAAACAGCAACCTTTTCTTTCAGCCTAATAGCCTAAATAGCATGACATTAGCTAAAAAACTGCCTTGCTTGGACCTTACGGGGAGCCCTGCAATACTACGCTACACCATTGATCCTACACCCCACCTTTCCTCTTGTCATTACAGGACTTCCTATTGTATCAGATCTAGGTCCCTTCTGCTCCCAGAGATTGGTATACCCCTCTTTATACTCTCTATCTCACTCTTTGCCTCCTTCTGCCGTCAAAGTATGGAACAGATCCTCAGTTCCCCCATCTTTGGACTTTTTCAAAGCTTCATATGCCCCATCTCCCCCATCTCCCCCATCCCCACCTTTCGCCCCCACTTCCCCCAAGGTGTGGTACACCTCCTCTTTTCCTCCTGCTTTCTTCAGCGCTTCGTACCCCCCCCCTGCTTCTCTCCTCCTGCTGCTTCTGCTGGAGTTGTGTTCAGGGTGTCGTACTCTCCCTCTCTCCCGGTACCATGTTTTTTGCGAAGCTCCTCGTACCCCCCATCTCCTCCATCCTTCGATTTCACTGTACTCATGGGCATATCTTGGTAAATGGCTTCTAGCATACAAACAGAGAAAACACATTTGAAATGAAGAACTTTTGAATGGCAAACAATTGATGTCATGTAAAGACTTATATGTCACTTAAACAAACACACACACACACAGTGGCTGAGGAGATCAGTTGTAGGCTTACCTTCACCAGTCCTCTTGCGATATAAGATTATGGCTCCTATGACCAGTATAACCCCCAAGACGATCATCACAAAGATGATGATCAATGGCATATTTGTCCCTTGAGTGTCGACGTCATCTGTCATAAAGAGTAAAGCAGAAAGATTATCAATGTTAGGTTTGTCTAATTCTAAAGGTTTATTCACTTTGTTTACTTTTGTTGACCAGTATATCACAAAATACAAAGCACCATCACATGCCTACTACACTGTTGAATGCTATCTCTTCAAATTACACATCAGAGTTGGCTTGAGCAACTAACTTTTATGTGCACATTTCAAACTTCTATCAGGCATGTCCTTCAACAATAATCTACTCTCATATTTTCACTCTAAAATAATATATGTTCACGTTCTCTCATTTGTGTGGAACTCACAATGATGGATATTGCTTAGTGCAGACCTCCCGACTTTCCACACTGCTCTGCATGCATAACTACCAGCCGACATGGCATGTGTGTAGCTGTCGCCAGAGCCTTTAGGTAGCCACTTCTGATTGTGCTGTTTGTAGTACCAGCGATAGGAGGTGCCAGTGGGGCATCCGGAGCAGGAGCAGGTCATGTAGGCGGTCGCAGTGAGATCTGCCTTCAAAGGGAGTGCTGCAACAATCAATTCTTGATATTCTGAGACGCCTGTGTTTGACTTTCCACTGGTGCTTCCCTTGAACCTATAGGTGGCTTCACAGCGATATTTCCCCTTGTTGGACTCGGTCACATTGTTGATATGGTAAAAAGAAAGGGCACTGTCATTTATTTGCTGATCATCCTTGTAGAATATAGCGCGGCTAATTTGGTCGGTCCCCGTCACAACACACCTCAGACTCAGTTCATCTCCCAAAAAAGCAGGCCCAGGCAGTATCTCCATCAGTACCATCCGTTCTGGAGAAGAGATAGAAACAGGGAAGGTGGAAGAAAAGAAGAGAAAGAAGGGCATAGTTGCAAAGTGAGAAGGGAGGGATCAGATAAAATAGGGATATCATTTGATGAAAACATACTGTATAGTAGGGAAAAATAGGCTAAGGAACCCAAGATAGGTAACTGGGTGGATAGATTTCACCAGGAGTACTTTTCCCCGGTTAGAGAGTAAGCAGACGACAAATTTCACACATTTCTTGAGGACTTGTGGTTGGACATGGTAAAGGTTTGTGTGTGGTTCTGCAACAAAGGAGAGACATCATGAGCAGGTTGCATAACATAAAAGGTCAAGGTGGTTAGGATAAACCTATTAAACCAATACATCTCAACTGTTGTGACTTAACTAGAATATACATGAGAAATAGGAAACAAACCTACTCTTAACTTGGACACACACAACTGGAAATAAATTGAGGAATGGCTTGACAGAATTTAAATACAAACTAGAAAAGTACTTTTCCTGAAGAAAATGTGGTTTATAGTTTATAAAGATTTTAAAGAATTTGAAATTAGGATAGCCTGAACATGTGAAAGTTTGTTTGGTGTCTCTAGCTTGAACGGTTCAAACGTTACTGTTGGTGGGTTATTTTATGCTAATTTATACAAATGTATATAGCTATAGTTGATAAAGATTAAAGTTGGTTTGGTTTCTCTAGCTTGAATGGTTCAAGAGTTAGTTGGTGAGTTATTTTATGCAAATGATTGCAAATGTATACAGTTATAATTGATAAAGATTTTGAAGAATTTGAAGTTAGGATAGCCTGAACATAAAGTTGGTCTTATAGCTTTATTGGCAAAGGAGCAGGACCATTTTGATTAGCTAACTTTGTATTCCTATGGTTCTCATTCAATCCCATGTTAATTTATGCAAAGTTTAAATGCTTATAGTTTAAAAAGTCTAAATAGTATCAAAAATCTGAATGCAAGCAATCTAAGTAGGGTCAGTCTGAACATCTAAACGTTGGATTGGTGTTAATATGTTAAATGGTATAGGAGAAGATAAAGCAGGTATAGAATTGTTTATTTGTTTTACCATTTAAGTCTATGGCCCTTTTTTTTTACCATTGAAATGCATTGGGAGCTCATTTAAATATTGTTGTAGTACAAGTAAACTAAGTTGGAGCAGTCTGCACATTTGGAAGTTGGCTTCGTGTTAATGGCTTAAATCGTTTAAGCGCTAAAGCGAGCCGAATAAATCAAATAATAATTAGAAGTACATTTCCTGAAGAAAATGTGGTGTGCATGCTAAATTGTGAAGAATGTATTGATAGGATAGGATAGCCTGAACATGTGAAAGTGTGTTTGGTGCCTATAGCATGAATGGTTCAAGACTTACCGTTGGTGGGTTATTTTATGCAAATTCTGAACTACCTAAAATTCCTAAACAAAACCACGTGTCCAAGCACGTCATTTGTTTATTGGACAAATATGCTGAAGCTTCACTTGCGTCCCAATTTTCATATTTCTTTCGCTTTGGTCTTCCGAGAACATGCAGGTGGAAACAATAGCCGATCTAACTGCGACCTAAATAAGCTATATTCAGTAGTTTATATCCCGGTATGTGCTGCTACTCACAACATGTTTCAGAGATCTCAAGTTATGAAGCGGTGTGCATTTCATCAAATGCTCACAGTCAAACAACCAATAATACTGCACGACTCTGGTTATTTTCCTTTGTTTGGTCCGGACTGCGTTCTCACCTGCAGGGAACCACACCACAGTTGAATCGGACCCCAGTCGAAACGAACTGAACTAAGGTGGTAAACGGACCATAGTTAGAAAGAAAACGCACCATACCAATTTGTTGTAAAAGCCCCCTAAGTAGGGTCAGTCTGAATATCTCAACATTGGTTTGGTGTTGATAACTTAAACAGTGAAAGAGGAGATAGGTCTAGAATTATATCTATTTTTTACCATTCTAGTCTATGGCCCTTTTTTTGCCATTGAAATGCATTGGTATCCATAGCAAAGGCTCCGTTTGGGCTGCTCAATGATGAGACATGAGAGAGCTGTTCGCTGAAGTTAGCTAGCTACTTCTGACAAACAGCTGTAACTTTTTATTGGTAGAAGATCATTCTGTTCTGATTCCAGATTTGAATAGCAGAGAAGTAGACCAAGATGTCATACCGTCTAAGTTTGTGTCTAGTTTGTGTCTAAAGTGCTGTGAAAGTGGTCAATATTTCAGTTGTTTGGAAAATGTTTTTGGGGAAAAATTGTTAATGCGGTTATTAAAACAGCTGTATCGTTAGATTGGTAGCAGATATATAAATTTTTCAACTTACTTTTTAAATTGTATTGTTAAATTCCAACATGCAGGTACTGCACTGATTGTTGTTGAAAAATGAGACATGTAACCTAAAGCAACAAATACATACTGTACAAGAAAAATTTAATTCAAAATTCAAATAAATAAATAACCATAAACCTTATCAAAAACATAAAGTGACACTAGCAAGACATAACACACACCGAGTGGGTTGGGTTGTATACAGACTTTGAAGGAATCAGTTAATACAGTGCGTTCAGAAAGTATTCAGACCCATTTACTTTTTCCACATGTTGTTACGTTACAGCCTTATTCTAAAATCGATTAAATTGTTTTTTCCCCCTCATCATTCTACACACAATACCCCATAATGACAAAGCAAAAACAGGTTTTTAGAAATGTAGCACATTTATCACAAATCAAAAACGGAAATATCACATTTACATAAGTATTCAGACCCTTTACCTGTTTTTGCTTTGTCATTATCTGGTATCGTGTCACAGGAGGGGGTCACAGTTCCGGAGCGACCCACTAGGTGTCATCCTCCGACAACCTTAGGCACCTCCTCACTCACAGTCTGGACTAATCATCATCCTATTGGTGTCACCTGTGTCTCTCTGTTCACCTGTGTATTTATGCCCTCACCTCCCTGTATTGTCTTGCTCAGTTTTCTCTGCTAGTGTCTCTATGTCCAGCAGTACTACTCAGTGTCTGATCGGAGACCTATGTACAGGTACTTGAGAAGTGTTCTCCCTGTTTTGTTATTTGTTTCAGTCATAGGTAGTCTTTTGTATTTTGGCTGTCAGCCGGTTTTGGAGACTTATTTGCTTCGCCTTTCTTATACCGTTATTTTGTATTTTGGCTTCGGGACAACCAGTAAAGATCCTTGTTTCACCATCTCTGCCTACTGCCTACTGTATATCCTGCGCAGCACCTGGGTCACACCTCACCCCAACCCTTACAGTGTTGTGTGTAGATTGATGAGGAAATGTTTTTATTTATTCCATTTTAGAATAAGGCTGTAACGTAACAAAATGTGGAAAAAGTCAATGTCTGAATACTTTCCGAATGCACTGTACATTTAGGCTACAGTCCATAAAAAGGAAGAGTTAATTGATCAGACACAACCCACTGAATCTCCATGTTCACAGTCAGTAATGACCATCTGTCCACAAATTGATCTTGCTTTAATCTTAATCTAAATGTTATTTTTTCCATTATGTATGTTCTTCTTATAATTGAGATCCACACCTCATCTGTTGGAGGTTCTTTCTGGAGTCATCTTAATGTTATAGCTTTCTTAGCTGAAATGAAAAATATTTGTAACAAATAATGTTTATTCCTTTCTAACACCATGTCCGACTTGGATGCAAGAATGGCTAACATTTGAAAACCAAACACCTTATCAATCATATTGAAAACTGACACCCAAAAGCTGTTAAATGTTTTACATTTCCAAAAATATGTAGTTTTGTAGCCACCTCCATGAATTTGCATTGGTAACTTTACGAGCTTCAGAGAATATATCTAACCATGTCTCTTCACTTATACTGTATCTTGATGAAGAGCACGTTCCCACATCTGTATAATAATAAATGTGTTATCTTGTTTCAACGCTGATAAAGCCCTGTATAGGTTAGTTGTTGGTTTCTCAGTGTATTGATTCTCCTAAACTCTGGCTAAATATTGCTCTATGGCCTGAGGGGGTGCCTTGTAACCTTATCTAGTTTGGGTGTTTGGATAGAAAGCTTGTAGATACCTACTTGTAAATACCTGAAGAAGTATGACCTTGGTACGGTATATTCGTGGTCCTCTGTAGCTCAGCTGGTAGAGCACGGCGCTTGTAACGCCAAGGTAGTGGGTTCAATCCCCGGGACCACCCATACACAAAAATGTATGCACGCATGACTGTAAGTCGCTTTGGATAAAAGCGTCTGCTAAATGGCATATTATTTATTTATTTATTATTTATTCAACTCAGAGCTCAGTTTTTCAAATTATTATTATTATTATTAGAGTACCCTTTTCATGCTTTATACAGTGCCGTGAAAAAGTATTTGCCCACTTTTCAGATGTTCTCTATTTTTGCATATTTTATACTGACTGTTATCAGATCTTCAACCAAACCCTAATATTAGATAAAGGGAACCTGAGTTTACAAAAAAAACAAAAAAATTATACTTATTTTATTTATTTAATAATTAACAAAGTTATGCAACACCCAATTCCACAGTGTGAAAAAGTAATTGCCCCCTTACACTCAATAACTGCTTGTGCCACCTTTAGCTGCAATGACTGCAACCAAATGCTTCCTTTAGTTGTTTATCAGTCTCTCACATCGCTGTGGAGGAATTTTGGCCCACTCTTGCATGCAGAACTGCTTTAACTCAGCGATATTTGTGGGTTTTCAAGCATGAACTGCTCCTTTCAAGTCCTGCCACAACATTTCAATTGGGATTAGGTCTGGACTTTGACTAGGCCATTCCAAAACGTGACAATTTTAGCTTTTTAGACATTTTCACGTAGACTTGATTGTGCGTTTTGGATCATTGTCTTGCTGCATGACCCAGCTACACTTCAGCTTCAGCTCACAGACGGATGGCCTGACATTCTCTGTAGAATTCTCTGAAACAGAGCAGAATTCATGGTTCCTTCTATTAAGGCAAGACTTTCAGCTTCAAATTGTAGCTAACTTGCATTTTGAAAATGCATCACCATTTATGGCTGTAATGACAGGCTACATTTGTGCAGCAATTGTGCCTGCATGTTCGTGTGTGCACACATTCATGTGCGTGCGGGGGTCGCAAGTTTTGTTCCTTTTTGGGGGTCAAGGGTAGAAAAGTTTGCAAACCACTGGGATACATGATAGTGGCAGCAAATGGAGTTGGGTTGGATATAGTAATGGTAGGCTACAGTATTTCTTACAATCTTCTATTTTGACTGGAATTGTGTTGGTCATTGTTAGTAAGTGCAGCATGTTTCCAGTTCAAAATAGTTTAGCTAAATACTTTACCCATCAGATTGTGCTGATTTCCCTTTTTCTTCTTGTAATAATTGCTCAACAAGTCTGTGAACGTGGTTGCGGGAAACATATTTTTTGGGGTTCCCTTTTTTTGCTCTGTGCATTGGCCTGATTGCTTAAGTATAGGCCTACTTTAACAAATACACATTTTGTCTTTAATTATTGTTAAATTGAAGCAACTTCATGTCTACGTCATGCCTTGGCAGCAGCTAATGGGGATCCATAATAAATAAAAAATACTGTACACCAGGTTTTGCATGCCCAACTATCAGGACAAAAACAAATGTTGGCAACAAGTCATTATACTATGCCTACCAGTGGCTGCTCTGGTAAGTCATTTGCAGTTGTTTGTTATTAGACTATTTCTTGCTTTACTTCATGGCTTGGTCTTCTCATGACATATGACAATCGGCTTGTGCCTCCTGGTGAATTCTTTGCAGTCTGGTTGGGCAAATAGCTTATAGGCTACCCAGGCCTAGGCTAGGTTCGTTGCAACCAAGACACTTTTGGCATTGTGCTGGAGTCAAAAGTCTCTTGGGGGACTTTCACACCAAATTGTTTTAGAGTGGTTTTTCCGAATTCTGGCGCATTTCCCCCAATGATTTATATATTCACTAGATGACGAACAGGGAGCTCTGTTTTGAAGCCACCACGCCTCCATCTTGGCACTCCCCCACCTTTGTAAAAAATATTTTGGCAGCTATAAAAATGCATTTATTAATGTCTACATTTGTTTTTGCCACGTTTATTCTACAGACAACTTAATGTATATGTTTTAATTATATTATGTGAGCTAAAGATTTTTAAAAAATGAAATAGTCTAAAAACATTTTAGAATGTTATAATAAAAATAACATTTTAAAAGTAGGCTATAATTTTTTATAAAGTACTAATGTTACTGTCCCCACTACAACAACAAAATACTTAAATACGTGTAATTGTTTCCTTGAAACATTTAATTGAAATGCTGTAGAATTCCAATCATTCCTATGGAGGACTGCTTCTTCTTCTGAGGAGTGCCAATATGGCCGACCGTTGGCTTCAAAGCCTCTCATTGGCCAACACATAGCATTAGCTATCCAGGGTTTATATACATCATTGGTTTCCCCCCTTAGTTCTCTTTGTTTGGACTGGTGTGAACACGGGATTTGGGAGTGCACTAAACAACACACCGTGGTTGGCTCGAAAAGAGTGGTCTTGGTCGGATTCCATTCGTACCGTGGTACAGTTCGCTGCAGGTGAGAACGCAATCTGGACCAAACACAGGAAAATAACCAGAAGCGCGCAGTATTATTTGTTGTTTGACTGCAAGCATTTGATGACTGCGAGCGTTTGATGAAATGCACGCAGTACCATAACTTGATACTGTATGAGCACATCCAATGCAGATTAGGGGAGACTGGGGCTATAGGGGGATATATGCTGCGTTCAAAACAACTGGGAACTCCGGAAAAAATGGTCATCCAACTCGGAATTCCAAATGGACAATTCTGGCATATTTCTAGAGTTCCGACTTTCCGACCTGAAGATCAATGACATCATGATTTAACCTTTTTTGTTTTGTTGCTTAGTTCCCAGTTGTCTTGAAAGCGCCAATAGGCTACAGAATATAGCCTACTTACTTTCCAGTTAGAGCAGCTATTGCGCTGTTTGCTACCCCATGTTGTTGAAGACCAAAGTGAAAGTAATTTTTTGGGGACACACAAGTTCTGCGTTTTGATAATCATTGATTAATTTAACGTGAGCATTTTTCTTCAATAAACAATAGACTTGCATGACCACATGGTTTTGTTTAGCCATTTTAGTTCGTTTGACATTTGGCAATGTGAAACGAAGCGGACCAAAGGAAAAAAATACAATGTAAGAAATAATTGAACTCTGATTCGAACTATAGCTCAGAACTAGTTTTGAAAATGCCCTTGCATCAAAGCTAGGCCTAGGCTACAACACATGTACTTCAAACTTGGAGGTCTGATACAGAGCCTACTGTAACCGTTAACACTTTGACAAGGAGGCTATAATTAAGCAATAAGGCACGAGGGGGTGTGGTATATGGCCAATATACCACGGCTAAGGGCTGTTCTTAAGCGTGACGCATTGCGTGCGGAGTGCCTGGATATATTGGCCATATACCACAAACCCCGAGGTGCCTTATTGCTATTATAAACTGGTTACCAACGTAATTAGAGCAGTAAAAATAAATATTTTGTCATACCCATGGTATACGGTCTGATATACCACGGCTGTCAGCCAATCAGCATTCAGGGCTCGAACGACCTAGTTTATAATTTTGCCTAATCGTGGACAGACTAGGGACGTAACATAATGGTATGAGCACATGACACAATATTTTAGTTCTGGGTTTCTGGGATTGAGATTATCAATTGCCAAAACATGAATTTGAGAGTTTGTCCAATTCATATTCCATAATTCCTTTGAAATGATGGAAACATTGCAGCCACCAATGGTTGGTTTACCTGAGGTCTTGATGGTGATGGAGGTGCTCCTCAGGTCAGTCTCGCCACTACACCAGTAGATGGCGATGGTGTCTCTCAGTCGGTAGGTTTGAAAGGTAATCTCTGTGTGATCGATGGTCAGATTTTTCTTTAGTTTTATTTTTTTTACTCCCCCCCTCTTGTACACCCAACAGGACCATCCCATCAGACTCTCCTCCACCTGCAGCTCCAGACTACTGCACCTTCCCAGTTGATGACTGGCTCCCCTGACTTGATGGATAAAGTGGCAGGCGGAAAGAACCCTGTGATGCAGTCCCAGGTGAGTACAGAGTAGGTTGTAGTGGAGAGGAAGGTTAAAAAATAAAGGAAGGAGAGAGATTGTGCATGAAAACAATGACATGTATATGACGCATTTTGAACACTGCAACACTTATATTTAAAAAAGTGTAATAATTGACCAAATGTCCGTACAACCAACAAATATACTATAATATCCAAATGTTTTGCCATATCTGTTTATGAATTCTCCTTTTTGATAAAAGATATCGCCTTCATAATCAAGTCTCCAGCCTCAGGTGTCTACTTAAGACGCTTAATTTAAACTACCCACATTTTTTGCCACTGAGCTGAAATGATATGTCCATGAGGCTTAGGCATTCGGGAGTTGGCATGGTATATTTACCTAGAACTGAGATTTCGAAGTTGTCACTCTTCTGCCCATTGTTCTCACACTGATAATTGCCGGAGTCCTTAGCAGAGACAGGACCTATGCTCCATATCTTGTTGTCTTGCTCTTGTACCTCATCGTTGAATAACCATTTTACCGTACCTGTGCTGTGGTTACAAGTCAGATTAATTGTATCCCCATTGTAGACTAGCTTGAATGTGGGGGCCATGGAAACTGAAAAGAGATAGAGGAGAGAGAACAATTTGAGGAGATGCCTTTGTCTCTTGGTGCAAATAGGAATTCTCACAATATTATGTTTGTCACTGCTGGCTACTGTAAACCGGAGTGACAGTGAACTGGACAACTGCAGTCTCAAAGGGTAGGTTTATGCTGCCACCTAGCGGTAGATTACAAGCAGCAGCGTGGGGGGGGGGGGGGCTTCATGTTAAAAATAAAGCTTTTTGATGGTGTGTGAGGTTGTAAACCCTTGGTACTTACCCTCTGGTTTGAGTTGACTCTTGACCACAACATAAAACACTGTAAAAAAATATATATATATGAGTTTTGACATAATTCTGTACGCACTTCCCCTTCTCTCTATGCTGTGGGAGCATTTCACCCGTATCCAGGGGTTAGACTGGGCCGGGTATCACCGACCTATGATCCAATTGAAAGATAGGCGTAGCTGTGACCCAGTAGCCTACCTTTGGTTATGCACATTTTGAATTATCTAATGAAAAATATTGTCCACAATTAATTTTCCTGAGCCAACAACACAAGTAAGCAACAGCAAAATCACATAACCCCAGTAGAATAGTTTGGTCAGCTTGTCGTATTCTATGTGAGAAAATAATATACCTCTCGAGGCACTTTCATATGCTCTCGAGGCACTTTCATGTTGCGAGTGCCGCACAGGGAGAGAATGCATGCCCCGTCACGGTATAACATTCTTAATGCAGTCGCAGGAAAACACACCTTTGAAAGCAGTTTTGATGGCCACTGTTAAAAGAGGAGTATCACAGCACCTTCTATTGTTATTTCACTTATTTCTCATATCCAAAAGATTTGTGAACTGCACCCTTTTAGAACCTGAGTTTTTAGCAGCAGCATGGTTTATGCTTGTTAGCCCATGCCAATGGTGCCACCAGTGTTGAATGCATAGGGGAGGCCGGGGCTAAATGTAACACGAATCAGATGTAACAGGTAGGCTACATTATATCCATAGTACATGATCCTTGGCTGAGTGACAGTGGAACCCTCAGCCTATTTATTTATTGTCACTATGCTGCATCAGTTGGGCTACAGAAGGTGATCATGCTTATTGCTAAATAACACACCTGCCTGATAATATGGACCAAATGTTATTGGGCTCATATCTGGAGGGGAAATTATATTTTAGATAATTTTATTTTAAAAAGTCACCAGAACTGACCTTTTCACAGACCTTCTCACTTCAAATAAAATCAAATCACATTTGATTTGTCACATGCGCCGAATACAACAGGTGTAGACCTTACAGTGAAATGCTTACTTACAAGCCCTTAACCAACAATGCAGTTTTAAGAACGAATACCAAAAAAAATTACACAAAAAATACAATATAAAATTATACGAAATAAAAGTAACAAATAATTAAAGAGCAGCAGTAAAAATAACAATAGCGAGGCTATATACAGGGGGTACCGGTACCGAGTCAATGTGCGGGGGTACCGGTTAGTCGAGGACACATTTTGTTGCGTTACAAAATGGGATTGAAATGGATTTACAGTTGAAGTCGGAAGTTTACATACACTTAGGTTGGAGTCATTAAAACTTGTTTTCAACCACTCCACACATTTCTTGTTAACAAACTATAGTTTTGGCAAATCGGTTAGGACATCTACTTTGTGCATGACACAAGTCATTTTTCCAACAACTGTTTACAGACAGATTATTAAATTTATAATTCACTGTATCACAATTCCAGTGGGTCACAAGTTTACATACATTAAGTTGACTGTGCCTTTAAACAGCTTGGAAAATTCCCGAAAAAAATTGTAGACCTCCACAAGTCTGGTTCATCCTTGGTAGCAATTTCCAAACGCCTGAAGGTACCACGTTCATCTGTACAAACAATAGCATGCAAGTATAAACACCATGGGACCACGCAGCCGTCATACCGCTCAGGAAGGAGACGTGTTCTGTCTCCTAGAGATTAACGAACTTTGGTGCGAAAAGTGCAAATCAATCCCAGAACAACAGCAAAGGACCTTGTGAGATGCTGGAGGAAACAGGTACAAAAGTATCTATATCCACAGTAAAACGAGTCCTATATCGACATAACCTGAAAGGCCGCTCAGCAAGGAAGAAGCCATTGCAACAAAACCGCCATAAAAAATCCAGACTACGGTTTGCAACTGCACATGGGGACAAATATTGTACTTTTTGGAGAAATGTCCTCTGGTCTGATGAAACAAAAATAGAACTGTTTGGCCATAAGACCATCGTTATGTTTGGAGGGAAAAGGGGGTTGCTTGCAAGCTGAAGAACACCATCCCAACCGTGATGCACAGGGGTGGCAGCATCATGCTGTGGGGGTGCTTTGCTGCAGGAGGGACTGGTGCACTTCACAAAATAGATGGCATCATGAGGAAGGACAATTATGTGGATATATTGAAGCAACATCTCAAGACATCAGTCAGGAAGTTAAAGCTTGGTCGCAAATGGGTCTTCCAAATGGACAATGACCCCAAGCATACTTCCAAAGTTGTGGCAAAATGGCTTAAGGAAAACAAAGTCAAGGTATTGGAGTGGCCATAACAAAGCCCTGACCTCAATCCTATAGAACATTTGTGTGCAGAACTGAAAAAGCATGTGCGAGCAAGGAGGCCTACAAACCTGACTCAGTTACACCAGCTCTGTCAGAAGGAATGGGCCAAAATGCACCCAACTTATTGTGGGATGCTTGTGGAAGGCTAAACGTTTGACCGAAGTTAAACAATTTAAAGGCAATGCTACCGAATACTAATTGAGTGTATGTAAACTTCTGACCCACTGGGAATGTGATGAAATAAATAAAAGCTGAAATAAATCATTCTCTCTACTATTATTCTGACATTTCACATTCTTAAAATAAAGTGGTGATCCTAACTGACATAAGACAATGAATTTTTACTAGGATTAAATGTCAGGAATTGTGAAAAACTGAGTTTAAATGTATTTGGCTAAGGTGTATGTAAACTTCTGACTTCAACTGTAATTGTGAATTCTTTCACTTCTCTACACAAAATACTTAATAATGTGTACGTGAAAATACAATTCTATAAATGTTTGCACATAAATACAAAATAAATAACAAGAATGTCTTGGTTAAATAATTATTCACCTCCTAAATCCAGGAGTAAACATTTGCTTAACAAATCACATAAGGGGTTGCATGGACTATGTGCAATGATAGGGGTTAACATGATTTCTGAATGAATACCCCATCTCTATACCCCACACACTCAATTATCTTTAAGGTCACTCAGTGGAGTACTGAATTTCAAGCACATATTCTACCAAAAAGACCAGGGAGTTTTTCCAATGCCTCGCAAAGAAGGGCACCGATTGGTAGATGGGTAAAATAAAAAGCAGACACTGAATATCCCTTTGAGCATGGTGAAGTTATTAGTTCGGTTTCGGGTGGTATATCAATACACCCATTCACTAGAAAGATACAGGCGATCTTCCTAACCTGAGTTGCTGGAGAGGATTTTGCTGAGGCCAATGGTGATTTTAAAACAGTTACGGAGTTGAATGGCTGTGATTGGAGAAAACTGAGGATGGATCAACAATAGCGTAATTACTCCACAATACTAATCTAAATGACAGAGTGAAAATAAGGAAACCTGTATAGAATTAAAATATTCGAAAACATGCAACCTGTTTGCAATAAGGCACTAAAGTAATACTGCAAAAAATGTGGCAAAGGAATTAACTTTTTGTCCTGAATACAAAGTGTTATGTTTGTCGCAAATCCTTGCTCTACACATCACTGAGTACCACTCTCCATATTTTCAAGCATGGTGGTGGCTGCATCATGTTATGGGTATGATTGTCATCGGCAAGGACGGGTGTGTTTTTCAGGATAAAAAGAAACGGCATGGAGGACAATAACTTAATGGCAAAATCTTCACTGGAGCTGCTTACCAAGAAGACGGTGAATGTCTATTTCCAGTTTTGACTTAAAGCTGCTTGCTATGGCAAGACTTGACAAAGCATGATTAATTCTGAAAAAAATAATGGGAAAATATTGTACAATCCAGGTGTGCAAAGCTCTAGAGACTTACCAAAAAAGACTGACAGCTGTAATCAATGCCAAATGTGTTTTAAACATGTATTGACTCAGCAGTGTGAATACTTATCTAATCAAGATACTGTACAGTGGGAAAAAATAGTATTTAGTCAGCCACCAATTGTGCAAGTTCTCCCACTTAAAAAGATGAGAGGCCTGTAATTTTCATCATAGGTACACGTCAACTATGACAGACAAAATTAGATTTTTTTTCTCCAGAAAATCACATTGTAGGATTTTTTATGAATTTATTTGCAAATTATGGTGGAAAATAAGTATTTGGTCAATAACAAAAGTTTCTCAATACTTTGTTATATACCCTTTGTTGGCAATGACACAGGTCAAACGTTTTCTGTAAGTCTTCACAAGGTTTTCACACACTGTTGCTGGTATTTTGGCCCATTCCTCCATGCAGATCTCCTCTAGAGCAGTGATGTTTTGGGGCTGTCGCTGGGCAACACGGACTTTCAACTCCCTCCAAAGATTTTCTATGGGGTTGAGATCTGGAGACTGGCTAGGCCACTCCAGGACCTTGAAATGCTTCTTACGAAGCCACTCCTTCGTTGCCCGGGCGGTGTGTTTGGGATCATTGTCATGCTGAAAGACCCAGCCACGTTTCATCTTCAATACCCTTGCTGATGGAAGGAGGTTTTCACTCAAAATCTCACGATACATGGCCCCATTCATTCTTTCCTTTACACGGATCAGTCGTCCTGGTCCCTTTGCAGAAAAACAGCCCCAAAGCATGATGTTTCCACCCCCATGCTTCACAGTAGGAATGGTGTTCTTTGGATGCAACTCAGCATTCTTTGTCCTCCAAACACGACGAGTTGAGTTTTTACCAAAAAGTTATATTTTGGTTTCATCTGACCATATGACATTCTCCCAATCCTCTTCTGGATCATCCAAATGCACTCTAGCAAACTTCAGACGGGCCTGGACATGTACTGGCTTAAGCAGGGGGACACGTCTGGCACTGCAGGATTTGAGTCCCTGGTGGCGTAGTGTGTTACTGATGGTAGGCTTTGTTACTTTGGTCCCAGCTCTCTGCAGGTCATTCACTAGGTCCCCCCGTGTGGTTCTGGGATTTTTGCTCACCGTTCTTGTGATCATTTTGACCCCACGGGGTGAGATCTTGCGTGGAGCCCCAGATCGAGGGAGATTATCAGTGGTCTTGTATGTCTTCCATTTCCTAATAATTGCTCCCACAGTTGATTTCTTCAAACCAAGCTGCTTACCTATTGCAGATTCAGTCTTCCCAGCCTGGTGCAGGTCTACAATTTTGTTTCTGGTGTCCTTTGACAGCTCTTTGGTCTTGGCCATAGTGGAGTTTGGAGTGTGACTGTTTGAGGTTGTGGACAGGTGTCTTTTATACTGATAACAAGTTCAAACAGGTGCCATTAATACAGGTAACGAGTGGAGGACAGAGGAGCCTCTTAAAGAAGAAGTTACAGGTCTGTGAGAGCCAGAAATCTTGCTTGTTTGTAGGTGACCAAATACTTATTTTCCACCATAATTTGCAAATAAATTCATAAAAAATCCTACAATGTGATTTTCTGGATTTTTTCCCCTCAATTTGTCTGTCATAGTTGACGTGTACCTATGATGACAATTACAGGCCTCTCTCATCTTTTTAAGTGGGAGAACTTGCACAATTGGTGGCTGACTAAATACTTTTTTTCCCCACTGTATATTATTAGTGTTTTATGTTTCACAAATTCACTTTTATATATACACTACCGGTCAAAAGTTTTAGAACACCTACTCATTCATGGGTTTTTATTTATTTTTACTATTTTCTACATTGTAGAATAATAGTGAAGACATCAAAACTATGAAATAACACATATGGGAAATTCAGGGCCTAGAAATTAATACCAAATGTAGAATTAACTCCAGAAGTAATTACGAGGCCATTTTAAAGATCCATTTGAAAGGCGATTTATAGAGAGGAACCGGGAGTCCTTCCATAATTGGTTAAGGGTCATGAAATACTGTGTGGATGAAGGGCGGGTGGGGGTGGGCGGGTTGAATAAAGAGAAAACAATGCATAAGAAATCCATAAATGTATCATTCTTGTGCAATTCATATCTATAGGCTACATTGAGTGTTTTCTTTCATTTTTATCTGCCGTTAGTGGATAAGCCTAAACTTTAAGGCCTAACTACTTGCGTCAAATACACGCCAATTGACTAAATGCTTTTGGGAACTTGGGCAGAAAAAGTTAACGTCGATCCACTGAGGCAAAAAGGACAATGTCAGAGTTTAATTCAATAAGGGAAAAGCTGTGAAATGTAGAGTTTACAATTAAGAGAAGGGAGGGCCAGAACAGTAGCCTAATGTTTGGGAAATATGTGATGATTGTGAGACGCTATACAAATTAGACAGTCACAAGATTGAGACTTCTAATATGGCATGTCAAGAGAACTGTATTGTTCAGATGGGTTAAATGGAATAGTAACTGAAATCTGGACACTGACTCTAGGTCTATAACCTCTCACATAGCCTAATATAATATTCACTCCTGCAGAATTAAGCAGTTCTTGCAGTAAAATCATACACCAAATGTAAATGTTGTTTTGGGAACAGGTGTGGAGAAATATTATTTATTTATTTCAGCATCTGGAGAGAATTAATGCGTGGTTGGGGACCGTCTGCAAAGGTGCTATCTTCATCAGCGTCATAAAAGCTGATAGTATTTCAACCACAAAATATGCATCCAAGCCGATCTGAAATCTTATCAGAAACATATTTGGTCGTTTTCACAGCTTTTAAATCCCTTAAAACCGGTGAAACTGATGTCATTTGGAAATCTTGCATGGAAAATCTTAGAATTTTTTTTGTGTTATTGCATTGCTCCCGTGTCCCTAAACATCGTTGCTGCATGAGAGAAGCTGAGATGAAAGAGATAATTTACAAATGTCAACTAGATTGAATCATTCATTCTATCGATGTATGACATTTTCTGGTGAGCAAGGGTTTATTTAGTCTTCTAGGGCAGCAAGGAATGACAGAAGAGAAGCTGCATGTATCTAATTATAGACAAGTTGACAAACAATTAGCCTACCAAAATGTCGGAAATTATAAGCAGAAACATAGGCCTATCTAAATTAGGCTTTAAAAAAAAATCACGCATCTCTGATCGTACAATGCATTTTCCATGTTTGCGGATTAGGGTAGGGTGCGGGCCTCAGATTTTCACTTTATCACATATAGTCGGGCGGTTGTGGATGGGTTATTAACAATTGCGGGCGGGTGCGGGTGAACTAACAGCTGACCCGCGCATAGCCGTGGGAAGTAGTTTGGGGGTGGGGGTGCTGCGATATTTTTTTCACGATGGGGTCTGATAATCATCTGTACAAAAGAGTTAATCGGATAATACTTATGGAATATAAAAATACTTGTTTGATATATGTTTTCAAGTTTCTTGAAATACTTTGCAAATTAAACTTATTTCTATGTGAAAACTGAAATGGTCTATTCATTCCTTTTCTATTAGACACTCTTATCCAGAGCAACTTACAGTAGTGAGTGCATTCATTTTCATACTAGTCCCCCGTGGGAATCGAACCTACAACCCTAGAGTTACAAGCCCCATGCTCTACCAACTGAGCCATATCATCACAAACCACTTAATGTCTCAATGTACTCAATTACTGTATTGTGCATTGTTTTTCTCCATGGTGATGGAAAGTCTACAGGTACAAACCTAGATGACCAGCCTATGTATAATATAGTGGTTTGTAAGGATGGAAAATTAATACTGCACAAAAAGTGATTGTTTTCCATGTTATTTGATCAATACATATATACAGTACCAGTACTAGTAAAAGTTTGGACACACCTACTCATTCAAGGGTTTTTCTTTATTTTTACTATTTTCTACATTGTAGAGTAATAGTGAAGACATCAAAACTATGAAAAACACATATGGAATCATGTAGTAACCAAAATATATTTTAGATTTTAGATTCTTCAAAGTAGCCAACCTTTGCCTTGATGACAGCTTTGCACACTCTTGGCATTCTCTCAACCAGCTTCATGAGGTAGTCACCTGGAATGCATTTCAATTAACAGGTATGCCTTGTTAAAAGTTAATTTGTGGAATTTATTTCCTTCTTAATGCATTTGACCCAATCAGTTGTGTTGTGACAAGGTAGGGGTGGTATACAGATGATAGCCCTATTTAGTAAAAGACCAAGTCCATATTATGGCAAGAATAGCTCAAATAAGCAAAGAGAAACGACAGTCCATCATTACTTTAAGGCATAATTGGCAGCCAAGCACCGATCATCATGTCACCAGCATCACTCAAATGATAGTCTACCCTCGATATTTATTGAACGTTTGCATGAAGCTCATCACCGTGCACTTAATCACCATAAGTTATGAAGTTATGAAATAAGTTATGATGAGACAGTGCACATAAAAATAACTTTTGTGGTCAAATTCCCATGAATAGAATAAACAATTAAATGGGTTTCCATCGCATTTTCAATTCTACTGTTGGTTTTGTCACAAAAAATGTTTTGCGTTCTATAGTGAATGTGCCCACTCTGGTCTTGGCACGTGCGCTCTAGCCAACAGCTTGCAGTTACAGTTTGGGTATAGCCTACATGATGTGTCAATGATGTTATTATGGAAAAAATAGTGAGATTATTTGTATTTGTCAAACGGCAGCCAAGCATCAATCATCATGTCACCAGAATAAAACCCGAATAAACTGCATGCTTTCCCGAGTGGTAGTGGGAGGACCACACAACATATCCTTGCGTGACTCCAAGTTTACTTCGATATGATGGTTATTATATCAATATTTGCGCCAAGTCTAGGACCAAAAGGCTCCTTAACAGCTTCTACCCCTAAGCCATAAAACTGCTGAACAATTAATCAAATGGCCACCCGGACTATTTACATTGACCCCCCCATTTGTTTTTACACTGTGGCTACTTTAGTTTATTTGGTAAATATTTTCTTAACTCTTTCTTGAACTGCATTGTTGGTTAAGGGCTTGTAAGTAAGCATTTCACGGTAAGGTCTACACCTGTTGTATTCGGCGCATGTGAGAAAGTTTGATTTGATTAAGGCTTTTCCACCACCAATTCTCGCATAATACATTTTACAGACCCAAAATGATCCATTACCGATTATTGTTTCCATTTGGCCTGTCGTAACTTTTTTTTAATGCATCAGGTCATTCATCTGCATTAAATGGCTGGATGGAAACCTTGTTACTGACCCATACCATTTTGCATCTAAACTAGTTATTTTCTCAAAAACTGCGAAAAACACCCTCAAATGCCTTTCAAAAGGCTGTCATTCACCCTCTGTCATTTCAAGTTATAATTATTTAATCTTTACATTTGATCATAATACTGAATTCAACCCAGGGAATCTACAAACCCACAAAAAAAGTGCACGCAGTTCACAATTCCAGTCATATAGTATATATTCAGTCATAATATAACATAAATCAAATTGACCGCAGAGTTAAACAGAGCGGAAGACTGGTAGCGCCATTAATTGGTGGAGATGGGGGGCTTACCTGTCAATATCAGGAAAATGTATGTCATACCCATCTCTGTTCAGTATGCCTACTCAAGATCTGCACATCAGAGAAATGACTGGGTGACTAACAATGAGAGAAGAAGGAATGGAAAATAAATATGGGGGCTGTTCTACAGACACTACAATGTTGAGGAAGTTGAGGAAGTTGAGGAAGTTGAGACCTGGAAGACACCCAAAATATTTTTGTCTTCATTGATTTTAGTAGAACACTCCAGAACAAACTTCTGCACATTGGCATTCTTGTTTGTGCCACAGTATTTTCATGGGTTCCCAAACTTTTGAACTCAGGCCCCCCTTCAAGCATTGGGTAACATCCCACACCCCCCTGCGAGCGTGCGCCACGTCTTTTTCTATGGGCACAAGCACTGTTCATGACACAAACTGTTCACACCACTCTTGTTGGCGGAGAGAACGTTTTGCAGATTTAAAGCACATTTCCTGCAATTCTACACATTTTGTCATGGGGTGCAGAGAAAATGTAGCAGTTTTAAAGCTAATTTCCGGCAATTATACACATTTTGCCATGCCTTATGTGTTAATGTGATGTTTGAGTGACTCAAACATTACAACACAATCAATGGGCTGAAAGAAAACCTAGCTAAAAAACATTAGCTGACATGGGCTAGTTGATCTGGACATTTCTGAGTTATAAATAGCTCTAAGGTCTGCAATGACTGACATGACAAGAAAAACTGCTGACCCAATTTCTAAATTGCACGTTGTGCATTCTACAATTTCAACTTTCAACTTCCCACAGTTTGGGAACCACTGTCTTAAAGGGGCAATCTGCGATTGGTGAATCAATTTTTGCACTTTGAAATTAATCATATACACCCATTGATTATTGAAGAATATAACGTATAAATGCCTCATGAACTTAGTTCAACTGTCATACCCCACCAGAACCCAAAATATAAGCTTGTTTTACTTCAATGTTTGTAAACAACGTAAATGTAAACACACACTGTATGGACTCAAAACATGGTTAAAACTATTAAGTTGATGTCATGGATGGTCAGTCCTTGCATCCAGAGCTATGAATTTGAGAGTGGTTACATTTCTTTAGCCCTATCCCTTAGCTTTTCACCAAAACAGTGTCAGGGAACCCGCGTTGTTCTTTTTCAAATAATCGTTTCAGTATCTCACATATGGGACATGCGCATTCGGGGAGGGGACCACAGGAAGCTCCAATCACATAAGTGTGACGACTAGTAGGGAACCCCACTCTTTATCAGGCACCCCGGTCCTGCCCTCTGACAATGCATTTCCACATAACATGGGGGCGATGAAATAACGGAGCCCCATTCATTTTCAATGGAGGGAAGTGAAGTGGGCGGGGGGGACCGATGTGCGATACGAGCATGTGCGAGGAAGTGTGAACAGGGTGGGAACAAAGTTGGGGAAAGCTGAATTTTACGGAAATACTCCGCGAAATCGTGATGCTATTGACCAATGGAAGCTCACTATAGCTTCCAGCCCTTACTGGATTGTCTGTCAACAACTTGCCTGCTTGGGAATCCCCTCTAACATTCTCGTTTTCTTCCTTACAGAGATCACAAGCGCTCTCAAAACTCTACTCAGCACGACTTGAATCCCTGTTTTCCTGCTAAACTGTTTGCAGGTGACCCGCTAGGACTCGCCGGTGAGCGTAGGATTATAGCTTCTCATCCAGTGTTGAGTACTTTTACAGAAATACAAAGTTTGCTTCTTCTCAGTCTCCGGTCAAAGCTAGCGTCACTCGGCTAGATTCTGTACCCACTAGCACACTTAGCGCTACCTGCCTCTCAGGCTAACGAAGTGCTAACTATAGCTAAGCTTTTAGGCTGCTACTAGCTAGTTAAGCTGCACAGACCTCACGTCAAGCTTTTGAGTAGCACATGTATAACCCGGCTGACAGAACCGTCCCTCCCGGAGTTATGGCTACTGCTTTACCCTTACTGGGCGAACTAAACCAAGCACTTGAATTCCTGGAATTACTGGCTTGCTTCTCTCATTTAGTATGCCTAATGTTCATTCAGTTTTGTCGGCTAAGCTGACAGGTTACACACATGGTAATACGGTCAAAAGAGGCTCTCAAGACCAAAGAGCAACGCCATTCGCACAGTTTTATTTGGCTAATACGGTGCTAGCTATAGCTAGGCTATTAGCCCACTGGGTGAACACTAGCTATCTAATTATGGCTACTGCCACCCTCTACAGGGAGTACCATACCAGGCCCTCGTACCCCCACACTTTTGCGCGAGTGGTTCACTTATTTCAGGGAAGGATTGCCATCCTGTCTGTATTGCCTGCTTGGGAAACGAACATGCCCAGGCAGCTCTCAGCGACCCAGAGTCCTGCGGGTATTTTACAGTGTTTCTGAGAACCGTCTGTGCTAGCTTAAGCTAGGATAGCCCCCGTGGCAAACGCCAACTAGCTAACTGCCATCTGGCTATTACTAGCTTAACTCTCATATTTAGTTCACCTAACATCCAGTTGCTTAGTGCTTACTGTTTGTACCGGTCCCATTACTCAGTGATCCGGTCCACAAGACGGCATAAAACAAACTAGCTAACACGGCAAGGTTAGCATTACCACTGCTAACCTAAGCTAGGCTAAATGCTCACGCAGCTTACCTCAGCTAGCACACTGCTACCTTAGCTCTCTTGCGTAGTTCACCTACATTCAGTCGGTTTGTGCTTGCTTACTTAACCGGTCCTACCTTAACGGTACCAGGTCCAAGAGACTTTAAAACCAGGTCAGCTACCGCGTCAAGGCTGGTCTTTACCATCACTAGCTGAAGCTGGGCTAAACACGGGTGTGTTCTGTGCACAAGTGCCCTCCAAGCTAAAGCTCTCCCCTCTGCACAGCTTTAGATTGAAGCCGAGGCTGGACAGGTAAACGTCAGTCGCCACCAAGCATTGTCCCCACTCCATGCTTACAGCACTCTGCCTCCAGAAATATATCACTCTCTGTCCCCTTGCCAAGGGAAAGGGGATACCTAGTCAGTTGGACAACTGAATGCATTCAACCGAAATATGTCTTCCACATTTAACCCAACCCCTTTGAATCAGAGAGGTGTGGAGGGCTGCCTTAATCGACGTCCACTTCATCGGCACCCGGGGAGCAGTTGTTGTTGAGGGTTAACTGCCTTTCTCAAGGGCAGAACGGCAGAAGGGGCACAGTGCCTTGTTAGTTCTATATGGGCGACTCTCTATAATGCCACCAGAGGGTGCCACCACATTTCCTCTGGGGATCGCAATGTCATCAGGCTTGTGGACAGCTCTCTGCCAAGCGGGAATCTGACACACTTGCACAATTCCTCCCTTCACTTCGCTATGAAATCAACCATCTTCTACTGGGTTCCATTTTTAGTAGCGACTATACCGCCCTAACATCCCTCCCAAGGGGAGGAGGGGAAGGCCCACATACGGGTTCAGTCCCTGGCAACAGAAAGGGGCAGCAGGCAGCACAAACATCCCTTGTCCTGTGACTGTCCCCTCTCGGGTTGAGCACAGCCCTTCCCCCACCTGGCCCCAGCATTTGGTTGGTGGGCATGTCTGTATCTCGGAAACCCTGACCCCGTGCAACGGCTCATCGTTTTGCGACCGTTTACCGGTAGGATGGACGGTCCTCAACCGCTAGGGCACACTTGCTCCTCACATTTACACACACTGGCTCCCAGACTGTTAGACACAGCAGGCACCTTCCCTTCTGCTATCAATAGCTATAGGCCGGGCGTTGTTGGTCATGGGAGTTGTCTACTGTCTCTCACAACCAACCATTGACTCACAAATAGAGACACCCTCCACCCCCATCCATACACACTGACCGTCTGGGTTGGCCAGTGTTCTGTTACTACAGCCCTACCACTCAGTCTTCACATAATCCGAGGTTCCAGTGCTTTACCATAGCCTTTACATCCGCTGAGCAAATGTGTGTGCCACTTGCACTGTCATTCTGCTATTGCCGGCAGCTTGCCCGGCTTGCCCGGCTTTCTGTGCCTGGTACCGGTGTGACGTTGTCCCATTCAGGCACGTGGGTCACAGGGGCAGGTCCCCTCTCTCATCAAATGTCTGTCCCCGTGGGATAGCGGAGGTTCATTATGTTGGCATGGGAATGCTACCCCGGTGAGGCTTGAGGGTCTCTTTGCTACTGTGGTCATGGCCACTCAATGGCATCGCTTGTGGCATCTCTGTCAGGAGATTTGTCATGCGGTACTTTAGCTACCCCTCATAGGTTTTAACGTATGGATATCTTTGCACCTGCTCAGCGCATACAATCCTTAGTTTGGGGCCTCTGAGGGATGAGTCTGCCAGGACTAGCAGGCTTTGGAGCGCATATGAGCGATACAGGAGTTTGCTATATCCCATATGCGAGATACCGAAACAATTATTTGAAAGAGAACTTAAGGTTACTTGCGTAACCCCAATTATCTGATAATATGAGTGAGGTATCTCACTGCTTTCCCCCTAAGGAAAAAAACCTATGCTTGAGAATGTCAGAGAGCGGGACCGTGGCGCCTGATCGTGGGGATACCTCACTCATATTATCAAAGAACTGGTGTTACGCAAGTAACCTTAAGTTATTGTTTGAACTGCATATTGCCCCTTTAAAGCAAAGTTTAGGTCATGAGAGCTTTATCAAACCCTATTTATTTATACAGCTGGACTGCACCAAACCGACTGTTGCATAGTGTTGTACTGTAGAGACATACTCAGCCCTGCTCAGTATAAATTGGATTACGTTATAACCCTGTAGTGCTTAATGATGTGAGGATTTTTCTGGTTGAGCCAGAACCTCAGGTTGATACTCATATCAATAGTGGGAAATTATTGTAGCAATAGTTATTTAGGATAGTGAAGATTTAGGTAATATAGTTGAATACAGAGCTGGTTAAAACATTTCATGTTTATGTTTATGCATTTCTTGTTGAAGTGTTGTGCAGTAATTTCCTCCATCTACAGAATGTGTCTCTCTTTGTCTTAGTGCTAACAGTTTCTTTGTTTTCAGTGGTTTGCATCATATGATATGAGTTATTTTGAAAGCACATAACCACATAGCCACCCACACCTAGCAATC